TCCACTGGTCTCGCTCTCGGTTGTTCCTCCACCTTTCCACTCCGTCTGTCTGTCTTTCTTTCCCTCTCTTTCCCTCTCTTTCCCTCTGTGTAGCGCGACGACAATGATATCGACAGACAACAGCAGAGAAAACACTTTGCGTTTCACGCGGCGAGAGGGAGCGGTCGGGCCGGGCCCCATTTTTCAACACGAAGAAAACTCCTCTCGTGAAACAAAATTAGCACTCCATTTCGGCTGGGCTATGGAAGGTGAGGGGGCGGCAGCAGCGCTGTTGCTCTTCGCCCTTCGCCGCGCCACGCCCGCTTCCGGTTCGAACGACAAACCCTTTTCACGGTGTCGGCGCCGCCGCCCGCCTCGGGCAAGACGGGCTGATGGGGTCGCTACGGTACGAGTGAGAGCAAGACGGGGAGCTAGTGGAAGAGACGAGGAGAGGGCTTCCGACATGGGATAAATATGCTAAGCCCGGCGACGACGTCAACCTGCTCGCGGCCTTTCGAATTGCTGTCCCATTGTGGCCTGCAGCGGCAGCATGTGACTCCCAGCCCCTCCTCCTCCGGCATCCCTTCCTCCCATCCCTCCAGACACGACACGAACAATGTGATAAGTTTTCCTCTTAAAAGTTTGGGTCTCCATGGGGCATTGTGTGTTCAGCGTACCGCCCAAAGCCGCCCGGCCCGCTGGCCCGGCCCGGCGGTCAGCCCCGGCACGCCCCTCCCTTACCTCCGCCCTCCTGCCGGGCAAACTGCCCCCTAACCTGTTCGCAACCTGCCGACCTTCTTCGTGACCTCCAGCGCGACTGGGCCCCGCTGCGCCTGTACACTGCCGCCGCATTTCCAGTGCCCCCCCCCCTTCTGCCAGCCGGCCGTCCCTCAAGGCGAGCCCGCGCCCGCTCCGCAGACACCACGGGCAGTCCCCTCCAGGCCCCGCCGTGCCGAGAGGAGCGACCGATGCTTATATTTGGCCGTCGTTTTGTTGACCCAGCCGGCGGAGCGGAGCCTAGGAATGGCGTGTTTGCCTTTATTAAAAACGCGCAGTAGGAGAGGGGCGGGCGGGCGCGCGCGCTGCGGTCCGGGACCGGTCCCCCGTGCTCCCCGTCCTCTCCACGGTCTTCGTCCGCGCCTCGCTCGCCGCTCCGAAACGACTCGGACGAGGTAGCGCTGGTGGGCGAGAGGAGGAGTGGGGGGAGGAAGAGAAACTGTACGCTCTCACTCAGGCCCTAATTGACTTTCTGTGTGCAGCAACAGTCTACATAGGCAAGGCAGACGTGAGACAGCTGCACAAAAAACTACCTTCAAGAAAGAAAGTTATACAAGGGTTAACGATGTCTAACAGCGTATTTGTACATTACACTCACTCAAGTGCACTGTTGTACTGTTGCACTTGTTATTCTTCAACTTAATAAGATACATAAGCGCGTTTTTGTAAACTGTTCTCCGAGTGCGCCCAGAAAAGGCGGGTTTTGAATCAGGTGCGCGGGGCTTGAGAGAAGTCCATGGGCTGGATAGGATTTAGCCCATGGACTTGGCTCAGGCCCCGCGCACTTGATTCAAGAACTCCTGTTTTTGTGTGTGTGAAGACACGCTTGCGAGATTACCCCCAGTTCCCTTTACTAGTGAAACGAGTAGTAATCAATCTAAAAGTGTTATAGTAGGTGTAAAGGTGTAAATTTTTGCGAGCTTTTTTGTGTATGTTCTTATTCCCAGAAAAGGAAGGGTGTATTGCGGTGTATGTAACGGTTTTGATATGTTTTTTGCGTGTGGGTGCCTCTCCAGACTGCAACCCTACGCGAGGCTGGCCTGGGGCAGAACGTTGTCCCTTCGGATAAGAAGTTAGCGGGTGGAGGTGAAGGAGGAGGAGAGAAGGGGATGGGCGCTGTCCATTCCCAGGGCAACCAAAACAAAACTTGTCCCAGCCGCGCCGCGTCCGAAACGTGCAGTGCTGGCCCCTCGCCCTGCAGAGGGGGAATTAAACCACAGGCAAAGTGGAAACTGAATCGTACGCTAGAGTTTTGGCCGCTGCTCCCCGGCCACCCGTCACCGTCCCGAAGGATGAGAGGAGAAGAAGAAGAGTCAGCAGACAGAATGGGGACAGGGGAGCGGCCGGGGGTGGCTTTTGTTTCAGCCAACTCCGTCGGCGGCGACGCGCGGCGTCAGTTTTCTATTACCGTGCCGACGTCCGAACCGTGAGGGAGCAGGGCTCGCCGGAGGCCGGGGCCGGGCCCCGGGCGGCCGATGGAAGGGACGGCAAGCGAAACGAGACACGACCGCCGAGACGACGGGCTTGGGGACGGACTGGGCGGGAACGGGGACGAGACGGGGGTGGTTACAGAGAACCGCAAGCCAAAACAAATACTAACGCGACGTCACTCTGTGAAAATGGTTTTATTTGAAATTTTAAATTTCGATACTCTTTGCACTAATGACTCATTTCAGCGGCAGCCGGACAGAAATTTGAAAGCTAAGTTTTGCGATCGTTTGTAAAACAGATCCTTTACTTAAAAAGAAAAAGCTTTTGCCATACACAGTCTCCTTGTCAATGTCGTCATACTTTTCTTTTGACAGTATAAAGTACATTCGTGTCCGTGGTTTATTTTACCCTCCCCTTAGGTGAAGTGCGCAGTGCGCTAGCTCTTCGGGGCCGGTCGGTGCGACACCATTCGGGCGCGTCGTGAGCCGAGCGAAGTAATAGCAGCGCGAGAAAATTAGTAGTGGCAGTGAACTGGGCGACGGGAGGGGGAGGGGAGAAGGGGGAAGAAAAACTTGGTTCGGCCGCGGCGAAGCCACAGCCCGCCCACAGGCTCACAGCAGGGTCACTCCGGGCCAAGTTGGGGAGACGGGCATCGCGCGGGG